TGGAGGCTGACAGTAACGAGCCCTGGGGTCCTAGAATTAGAGAAAGACCTAAAATGACGGAACATCACCTGAGGCTCACAGAAGTTGAGTAAGGTTGAAAACACCAGCTCCAACACAGGAGGAGGCCTACAGCTACCATGTTGACACCAGAAGGGACAGCCCTTTCTCGGGGCGTACATGAAAGCAGCCCCAGGCTTCTGTGGTAGCTGGAAATCCAGCAGTGAAGTGGGAGAGAGGAGAGCCAAGAGGAGCAGGACAGGATGCGAGGGATGGCATGGGGCTCACCATGGGCAAGGAGAAGCCATGAGGACTGCAGCCCCTGCAGCAGGGTGGTGGCTCAGAAGACAATGGCGCTGGTGCGTCTGAGCCACTGGGAATGTGGCACTGTGTGTGTGAACATGGTGCTGTGTGTACCTGTGCTAGGGGAGGTTATGCTGTGGTTGGGGAAGGGGCTGTGTGGTTGTGTGGGAGGGGGGTGGTACGCAAAGGGCTGTGGCTGGCTGGGCGGTACATGTATGGCTATGTGTTGTGTGGTGGGCTTTGGTGGGTCTGATGCTGTCCTGTGTTTGGACAAGGACTGTGGTAGGTTGTGGTGTGTAGGGCTGGTTTGGGGAGCTGTGATGTGTGGGGCTGTGGTGTTTGGAGGTCAGTGTGCATGGGGCTGTGATGTGTGGAACTCTGCATACATTGAGCAGTGAGGGCATGATGAGAGGCTGTGGTGTGTGTGGCTATGTGTGTGCATGAGGGCTGTGGTGCGTGAAACTCAGTGTGCATAGGACTGTGTGTGGAGCTGTAGTGGGTATAGCCATAGTGGTGTGGATCATAGAATCAGCTAGGTTGGAAAAGACCTTTTAGATCATGAAGTCCAACGGTGACCCAGGCACTGCCAAATCCACCACTAAACCACACCACTAACAGCCTCATCAACATGGTCTTTGAACACTTCCAGGACGGTGATTCCACCACTGCCCTGGGCAGCCTGTTCCAATGCCTGAGCACCCTCCTGGTGTATAAATGTTTCCTAATGTCCAATCTAAACATCCCCTGGCACAGCCTGAGGCCGCGTATACATAAAAGGGATGTATGTGCATGCATGGAACTGTGGTGTGTGGCTGTGATCTGTGTGGCTGTAGTTTGTTCAGCAGTGGTATAACTGTGGTGTGTGTGGCCATGGCCTATCGTGTGTACGGCCATGGTATGTGTAGCTGCAGGACTGTGATATGTACGGCTGTGGTGTGTGTGTCTGTGTAACTGGTGTGTGTAACTGTGGTGTGTGTAACTGTGGTGTGTGTAACTGGTGTGTGTAACGTGTGTGTAACTGTGGTGTGTGTAGCTGTGGTGTCTGTGGCCATGGTCTGTGTCACTGTAGTGTGTGTAGCCTTGGTCTCCAGTGTGTAGCCATGGTCTGTGCTGTGTGTAACTGCGGTGTGTGTAACCATGGTGTATGGCCGTGCTCTATGATGTATATCACTGTGGTGCGTATGGCTGTGGTCCATGGTGTGTGCCTATGTTTTCTGACGTCTGTCACTGCAGTGTGTGTGGCCGTGGTCCATAGTGTGTGCTCATGGTCTGTGATGTCTGTCACTGCAGTGTGTGTGCCCATGGTCCATGGTGTGTGCCACTGCAGTGTGTGCCCATGGTCTGTGGTGTGTGTCCATGGTCCATGGTGTGTGTCACTGCAGTGTGTGTGCCCATGGTCCATGGTGTGTGTCACTGCAGTGTGTGTGCCCGTGGTCCATGGTGTGTGTCCATGGTGTGTGTCACGGCAGTGTGTGCGCCCATGGTCCATGGTGTGTGTCACTGCAGTGTGTGTGCCCGTGGTCCATGGTGTGTGTCCACGGTGTGTGTCACGGCAGTGTGTGTGCCCATGGTCCATGGTGTGTGTCACTGCAGTGCGTGTGCCCGTGGTCCATGGTGTGTGTCCATGGTGTGTGTCACTGCAGTGTGTGCGCCCATGGTCCATCGTGCATGTCCATGGTCCATGGTGTGTGTCACTGCAGTGTGTGTGCCCATGGTCCATGGTGCGTGTCCATGGTCCATGGTGTGTGTCACTGCAGTGTGTGTGCCCGTGGTCCATGGTGTGTGTCACTGCAGTGTGTGTGCCCGTGGTCCATGGTGTGTGTCACTGCAGTGTGTGTGCCCATGGTCCATGGTGTGTGTCCATAGTGTGTGTCACTGCAGTGTGTGTTCCCATGGTCCATGGTGTGTGTCCATAGTGTGTGTCACTGCAGTGCGTGTGCCCGTGGTCCATGGTGTGTGTCCACGGTGTGTGTCACTGCGGTGTGTGTGCCCGTCGTCCATGGTGTGTGTCACTGCAGTGTGTGTTCCCATGGTCCATGGTGTGTGTCCATAGTGTGTGTCACTGCAGTGCGTGTGCCCGTGGTACATGGTGTGTGTCCACGGTGTGTGTCACTGCAGTGTGTGTGCCCATGGTCAACGGTGTGTGTCCATGGTGTGTGTCACTGCGGTGTGTGGGCCCGTGGTCCATGGTGTGTGTCCACGGTGTGTGTCACTGCGGTGTGTGTGCCCGTGGTCCATGGTGTGTGTCCACGGTGTGTGTCACTGCAGTGTGTGTGCCCATGGTCAACGGTGTGTGTCCATGGTGTGTGTCACTGCAGTGTGTGTGCCCGTGGTCCATGGTGTGTGTCCACGGTGTGTGTCACTGCACTGTGTGTGCCCATGGTCCACGGTGTGTGTCCATGGTGTGTGTCACTGCAGTGTGTGTGCCCATGGTCCATGGTGTGTGTCCATGTTGTGTGTCACTGCAGTGTGTGTGCCCATGGTCCATGGTGTGTGTCCACGGTGTGTGTCACTGCAGTGTGTGTGCCCATGGTCCATGGTGTGTGTCACTGCAGTGTGTGTGCCCGTGGTCCATGGTGTGTGTCCACGGTGTGTGTCACTGCAGTGTGTGTGCCCATGGTCCATGGTGTGTCTGCACGGTGTGTGTCACTGCGGTGTGTGTGTCCATGGTCCACGTTGTGTGTCACTGCAGTGTGTGTGCCCGTGGTCCATGGTGTGTGTCCACGGTGTGTGTCACTGCGGTGTGTGTGCCCATGGTCCACGGTGTGTGTCTTGTCCTGCAGTGTGTGTCCATGGTCCACGGTGTGTGTCACTGCAGTGTGTGTGCCCGTGGTCCACGGTGTGTGTCACTGCGGTGTGTGTGCTCGTGGTCCACGGTGTGTGTCCATGGTCCATGTTGTGTGTCACTGCAGTGTGTGTGCCCATGGTCCATGTTGTGTGTCACTGCAGTGTGTGTGCCCATGGTCCATGGTGTGTGTCACTGCAGTGTGTGTGCCCGTGGTCCATGGTGTGTGTCCACGGTGTGTGTCACTGCGGTGTGTGTGCCCATGGTCCACGGTGTGTGTCCATGGTCCATGTTGTGTGTCACTGCAGTGTGTGTGTCCATGGTCCACGGTGTGTGTCACTGCAGTGTGTGTGCCCGTGGTCCACGGTGTGTGTCACTGCGGTGTGTGTGCTCGTGGTCCACGGTGTGTGTCCATGGTCCATGTTGTGTGTCACTGCAGTGTGTGTGCCCGTGGTCCACGGTGTGTGTCACTGCGGTGTGTGTGCCCGTGGTCCACGGTGTGTGTCCATGGTCCATGTTGTGTGTCACTGCAGTGTGTGTGCCCGTGGCCCACGGTGTGTGTCACTGCGGTGTGTGTGCCCATGGTCCACAGTGTGTGTCACTGCGGTGTGTGGCCGTGCTCTGCGCTGCCTTCGGTCGATCCCCGTACGGTGCCGCCGTGCCTGTTCCGGCGGGCGGTGTTGGCGCTCCCTGAGGCGCATCCCCGCCCTGTGCCCTCCGCTCCCGCACCTGTCCCGTTCCCCGGCTCCGCGCCGTCCCTGCGGAGCCGCCACGATCCCTCCCCGCCGCCGCCCGGCCCCTCTCCGAGGCTGGGGCGTGGCCAAGCAGGGGGGAGGAGGGAAACAGCCGCGCCGGGGGCGCTCCGCGGCTTCTCCCAGGCGGGGCGGCGCCGACGGGGTTAACGCGGTCCCCGCGGCCGGGGCAGCTCCCGCCTCCCGCGCCGGAGCGCACACACTCACACACAGACACACAGACACACACACACACAGAGACACACTCACACACACACAGACACGGGCAGGCGATGACCGAGGGGCGCGGGCTCGGTTCTCCCCGAGATGATGTCAAGAGCTCGGGAGGAGGAGGAGGAGGAGGACGGCCGCTCTTTTTCTTAACGGCTTTGTTCTAAAATCATCCGAAATAAAGCAGCCCCAGCCCCGAGCGCCGGGGGACCAGCCGCAAAAGTACCTTTCCCCACCCCCCTTCTTTTTTTCGTTTTTTTTTTTTTTTTTTTTTCTTTTCCCTCCTATTTTTTTCTTTCTCATCTCTGCCTTTGTGTCCGCCTGGGGCCGAGCCCCCTCCTCACTCTCTCCCCGGTGAAACCGGCGGCTTTTTTCTCCTCTCCTCCCCGCAGCCCGAAGCCGGAGGCAGCGCCCCCACCACCGCTGCCCCGGGCAGGTGCCTCGGAGGCCGCCGGCTCCTCGCTGCCCTCCCGCATCCCCATCACCCGCCCGCCGGCCGGGGCGGCTCCGCGCCGCTCCTCCCGCGGGGCGCTGGCTCCCCGCCGCCAGGGCCACGCCGGCGGCCCGGCTCCCCCGCCTCCCGCCGGAGCGGCGGCGCGGCCGATCGCGCCCGGGGATGCTGCTCCCAACTCCCCGCCCGCCGCCTGACACCGTCGCCGCCGCCCTCACCGCACCGGACGCCGCTCCGCTGCCCGCACCGCGGCCACCTGCAGCAGCCCGGCTCGCCGCCGCACGCCTCGCACCGCGGCGGAAGGAATAAAGCGCTCAGCCCGTCCCGACCCGCCCGGCCGGCGCTCCCCCGAGGCAGCCGGGACCGGGGCGGGTCGGGGCCCCCGCGGGCCACCCCCGACGGACGGAGCCCGGGCCCCCACCGCCCCTCATCCCTCTGCGCGGCCCCCCGCGGATGGGCGCGCTGCCGCCGCCCGGCCCCCCCCGGCCCCCCTGCGCCGCCTGAAGAAACTTGGGACGGCGGCGGCCTCCACGTCCCCGCCGCGCCCTGCCCGGGCTGCGGGGGACCCTTCCAGCGTCGACGCGCCAACTTCGCGGGGAGACCCGCCGGCCGCAGGACTCCGGCTCGGGGCTGCCGGTCCTTCCCCGGCGGGGCGCAGACCGGCGCCTCCTCCCCGCGGCGGGGACCCCCTGCCCCTGGCCGCGGTGCTGGGGAGGAGTGGGGGTGCCCTGGATGGCCCTGCGCGCTGGGACGGCTTGGTTTGGGCAGGTCCTGCGCAGAGTTTCCCGGCTCCAGGGCACTTGGTCCCGGCGCTCCAGCAGCCTCCTGTGCCTCTCCTCCTCCCAGGAACCCGAGCAGGCGGGCGGAGAGCGGCCGCCGCAGCAGCACAAGCTGCCCCGGAGCAGCGGCAGCGGCGGGCGCCGGCAGCCCCGCCGGCAGCTGCCCCGCTGCTGCGGCTGCTGCGGCCTGTCGGATCCCCGGGCGGCCAGGGGGGGACATGGTCCCCTCACTCGCCCCTTGCTGGCGGCCATGAAGAGGCAGAACGTGCGGACCCTGTCCCTCATCATCTGCACGTTCACCTACCTGCTGGTCGGGGCTGCCGTCTTTGATGCCCTGGAGTCCGACAACGAGATGCGGGAGGAGGAGAAACTCAAAGCCGAGGAGATCCGGCTCAAAGGAAAGTACAACATCACCAGCGAGGACTACCGGCAGCTGGAGTTGGTGATCATGCAGTCCGAACCACATCGGGCCGGCGTACAGTGGAAATTCGCCGGCTCTTTCTACTTTGCCATCACGGTCATCACGACCATCGGTGAGTGTCTCCCCTCCGGGAGGTTCTCTGGGGCAACGGTGAGGGCTGGGGTGAAAGCCCCTCTGGTTGGGAGAAATGGCGGGGGGCAGGAGGGCATGGGAAGAGTTCTGTGCTTGGATGAGTTTTTTTTGCTTCCCTCCTGTGTTATGTAATTCATTGCTCTTCATGGGCACTTGTTGGATTTGACAGTGTCCCACACCTCTAACTTTTAGAGATAGAACCTGTGTCCCCCCACAGGGTGGGAATAGAGAGGAGTGAGGCAGGCCTGGATGGGGGCATTGGTGCTGGCCAGTTGGCTACCATCTAACTGTGGCTTGGGTGTCAAGGAGGAGGGGGAAAGTGGCAGGGTGACACTCCGGGTGTTCCCCTCAGGAAGACGGAGGCCCTGTTGCCATGCTTCTCCTTGCACCTTTGCTTAAAGAGATACGGGGAAAACTCAGGCAGACGGCACTTGGATGAGGATGGAAATGATGAGGGCACGGGAACTGGATCATCTGGGAAAGCCCTGTGTGTAGCCACGCATAGCCCTGCTTTCATAAACTTGGTTTTGGTCTTGGGCAGGGCTGTGGAGGGGGTTCCCACCGATGTGGTCCCATTACTGGGCCTCTCCTGGGCATTCCCAGAGTGTTCCTGAAGTTTTTACTGCAGCTGGAGAGTTGGCTGTGCCAACAGGTCACAGTCTGTGTCTGCTGTTTGTGGGCACATGGTCTGACAGGTAGAATGATGTCTGCTGTCACATCCTTGCTGCCCAGCTTCCCAGACATGCCATTTCCCAGGACAGTCAGGCTACAGTCAGTGGACACAGCCACAGGCTGTCATTTTGTACTGCTCTGCTTCCCACAGCTAAAGCAAAGCATTTCACACAAAGTTTGCTTCCCTGCCATAAAAATAAATACCAGGGTAACGAGAGGCTGTAGTGTGTGCACAGAACTGTGCCACAACTCCAGCTCTGGCTTGGTTCCTTCCTCAGCGGTTTTGTATCCATCAAAGATGGAAGCATTTGATAATGTTCTTCTCCCAGCACTTCTCAGTGTTCACCCCCTTGCATCTGGGGAGATCTGGAAAGACCTCTCCAGCTCAGTGGCTGTTTGATAGTGCATTGTATGGAGCAGGACAAGAAACAGCAGCTCTCTTATTAGTACAGGACTCAATCGTTTTACTGTTTTGGGTTTGTTACAAGAAATCTGAACATTGCCACCTGAAGACACTGATAGCTTTCAGCAGAACATGATATGGAATACCCTTTGAGCAGAGTCTACTTACATTTGTACTTCATTATATTATACCTGGATGGTAAAAAAAATTCTTTGAAGGACAATCCAATAGTATAAAGCCTCTTCCGATAGTATAAATTTCCTCTTCTTTTCTGTTATTAGATATATGATATAAAACACACGTATTAACAGGCTGCAGAGTTGAAGTAGAATGTGACTGGCTGCTGACTTAGATTACCTACTGTTCATTAAGATGTAAGAACTCCCCTTCCTCCTTTAGTCACTGATTATCTCTTCCTCCATCAGTCTGTTGTCATGTATTTGTGCTGAGTGTGTACTGTCCAGTCATGCCCCTCTGGATTTACGAGGCTTCCACGCACACGCCTATGTACTCACGATGCCTGCTACTCCCACCCAAGAGGTGGCTTCAACACTTTCTATGTTCTTAAGCTCAGTTGGTGACAGGTAGAAAGGGTAGTTTGCTGTTTTGGTTATATTGTACTTGGAAACAAGCCCAACTTGCTTGGGAAGCTGAAGCATTTTCTCCTGCAAAGAGCTGGGATTTGTTTAGGAAGCTCGGAGCACCTCAGTGTGCAGAGTATGGCGTGTATTTCTGTAGGCGGAGGCGCTTTGGGATGTTAGAATTGTTTAAATTTAAGATGTGTATAGCAACAGGGAACCACTGGGAGGAAGAGTGATAATAAAGAATGGTGCGGAAAGACAGATGTTCCTTAACAATTGTTCATTTGGGGAACTCTGCTCCGGGAGGATCCATCTTTTGAAAGTTTATTAATAGTTACTATCTGTGTCTTCTATTTTGTGTATCATCTCTTCAGTACTAAAGTAGCTTTATGATGGTGTCTCATTGACTGCTGGTAGTCTGTAAAAGTGAGCATGGAAGGTTGTTCTTTAATTTCTTCTTTATCCTAAAATAATCTGGTTCAAAGAGGGGAAGAAATTACTTCCTATATTTAAGCTCTCTGGAAAATAAGAGATTTCTTCTCTGTGATTCATAGGGCAGTGATCTTAAATGTTCATGTTAATCTTTTGTGGGTCTGAATTTTAATCTGTGTGTATGCTCTCACGCAAATTTCCTTCTCGCTCTGCATCCTTCCATACTTGGAGGAGCACATGCAGTGTTGTGTGCACTTGTGAGGGTGCTGTAGTCAACCAGTGCTCCTGCAAAAGTGCATCTAACTAACCATCGCAGGCTGATTTTTAAAACAGAGTGAATTAAATCATTCATTGCCTAATCTAGAGTAGTACATCTATCTCCACAGCTTCTTCTCAGAGAGGTGTGATAAGAATCAGTGGAACACAAGGTCTAGCAATGCGCGTATGACAGGCAGCAGACTAATTTATGTCTAACTTAATTGTTCTCCTTGATGCTGCCGTGCTAGCAACATGTCTGAAGCGATTACCCCTTCATCGGATCGATTCAGACCGCTGTGGCTTTCATTGCACTGAAGGTGATTGTGGCTGGCCGTGGCCACCGGTACCTGTTCGAGTCTGGGTGTTCGCGGCTAGGGTGGCCCGTGGTGCTGAAAGGACAGTTCCCGCTGCCGGCTCGGGCTGCGCCTGCTCGAGCACGCCCCGCGGCCGAACGGGGCTTGTGAAAACTCATCACTGAAGACCTGTTTGGAAGGGAGGATGGCAAATTGAAAGCATCCCGTGAGAGGCGAAGCGCTGAGATTTGGTCAGCTCTCACATCTCCTCTAACACATGGCTCCCCGGCACAAGAAAGCTGGATAGGGACGTTTTACAAGAGCATGTAGTGATAAGACAAGGAGGAGTGGGTTTAAACTGACAGAGAGGAGTTTTAGATTAGATATTAGGAAAAAGTTCTTCGCTATGAGAATGGTGAGGCGCTGGCACGGGTTGGCCAGGGAAGTTGTGGCTGCCCCATCCCTGGCAGTGTTCAAGTCCAGGTTGGACAGAGCTTCGAGCAGCCTTGTCTAGTGGAAGGTGTCCCTGGTTTGGAACTGGATGAGCTTTAAGATCCCTTCCAACTCAAACCATTCTGCTATTCTGGCTTTTATTAGAGGGTGGTAGGGCATTGCTGGTGTTTTGACAAGTTGCCTACTACACAAAGAAGTGAGGGCTGATGAACTACATGGAAACAGTGGTTTTATCACCTGGGACACAACATTTTCTATCTACTTCCCAGATGCAATGCTGTTATTTTAACTGACCCAATAAAAACTATTAACAATCACAGCTGCTACAGCATTAAGTGTGTCTGATCTTAAAATACATTAGCAGAAGAAAAATACCCAGCTTCTGCAAAGTTTTGGTCATGTTTGAATTCTGTGAAAGTTTGTATGTGATCAAAATAAGCTAATAAGATGTATTTGGTTCTCCCCAGTTGCTGAGTTTATTTTGGGATTGTTCTCCCTTCAGAGTTAGGTAGTATAATTTCCTGTCCCTTTCCAGTTACACAACCATTTCCAGTTACACAGCCAATACGATGACAGAGAGTAGTTTAATCGAGTTCTCCATCCAGCTGCTTATCTTTCATGAGATATGCTGTGGAATATGCTACAGAATTCATCAAGAGGCTGGACATGATGAATGAAAACACCAACTTTTGAAAATAAAAGGTAATTCCTCGTATTCCTATTAAGTTTTAATGCCCTTTCCCACAGGTTTATAAGAGTGAGTAAACTGCTTTGATGTAAGCAGGTGTCAACACTGTCAAAATGTGTTATTGGTATGGATATCACTCCATCATTTAGGCCTTAAAGGGTGATAGTCATACTTGATTTAACACTACCAAGCTCTAGTAAACACTGAATATTTCTGGAGGCTTGTGCAGAATGTAAAGAACTGAAAGCTGTTTATGTCACCCTAAAATGAACTGAAACAACAAACAGATTGAGGATTTTTATTTATTTATTTATTTCCTGAGAAGTGACTATAAGTGGAGCATAATTAAATACGGTGTGTGCTGTGAATGCCTAGTCCCTTTTTCTAGAGTTAGTCCTTTGTTTTCAGTTTCAAACCCACTACAAGCAGTGATTCTACTACCTTGGTGAACACAGACTTAATATTTTATAAGAATAGAGTGCAATACCTGTAATGGTGAACAGAATATCCACCTATTGACATCTGTTTGGCCACTGAATAGCTAAACACTCAGGTTCTGTCTACATCCAGATGAGGAGATTGACCACTTCTGGCAGATGGTGGCCTGAAAGGGAGTTTGAACCTGCATTAATGAACTAAACAAACACTTGCTGAAATCCATTTCAGGATTAAGTCTCTCTATGCTTTCTTTAGCCTTCTGTAAAATGGGTATAAAAATACCAAGGTGGTAGTGTTGCAATGTCTCTAATTTTGTGTTGAAAAAGTGTTTTCATGTATGAATTATGTTGTCAGCATTGCTCCTCTTTGGAGACCAGGCTCTGTTCTTTTTGAGTCTGCTCTTGGTTTTTGATAGATGTTCATGTTTAAAGGGAGTCAATTGAAAAGCTTTGAATAGGGAATCGTGGCAGATGGACAGCTGGCAATGGAAAGAAAAGTAAGGAAGACAACAAGACATGAAAAGAGAAAGATAAGGATGAAGATACCAATACTTTGGTTAATTAACTACTGTGTTCATGACTTGCCATGACCGTGAAGGTCATATCTCATATAAAAATCCCCAAACAAGTGCAGAGTAGATTAAAGCCACTCTTATTAATAAATTCAGATGAAAGTAGAGAGCAAGATTTTCTGGTGATACCAACTCTTGTAGATGCACTGGAGTAACAAATCCATTCATTCACATCATCTGCAGCTTCACTA